AAAATTGCATTTTTTAAGGGTACTCAACGGTTCCGGAATTTTCGAAATAGTATAAACGAAGAACACCCCTTGCTAAATTTGGCACAAAAAATGTTGCTCGTCACAGAGAGTTTTCTCTAAATTTCTCGCTATTTCTACACCAATGGCCAACACTCATTTCTCACTATTTCAATTTTGATTTCTAATTACAAGGGCAGCAGAAAATAAATTTACTTCTACCTATTACCTTGGATGTAAAATCTAGGTGGCGCCAGTCATCTTTATTTACTTCCTTTTAACCTATACTGACATATATTGAAATAAAATTGGACAATCTTTACATTAGTCGATTACTATATACTCCTGCTGCTAAAGTTCAAATTTTTGGATTAAAGGTACAATTTTTCATCTTAAAAAATGACTTTCTTTACAGGTACCCATCTTTGCAGAAAACGTTGCTTTTTACAGACTTGGGGCCATTGGCCAGCTTATTTTGACTGTTTGGCTATGTTTAAAGCGAGGTGTTTGATTAATGAAGTTCGATTTAGGCCTATTAAAGACTTTAGGCTGATGATTTGATAACTGTGTCCAACTTATATGTCTTTATCACGAATATATGAACACCGTTGCATAAGAGTCAAAATAGTTTATGAAATAGACTATAAAAGTGCTGAAACTAAGAATTTATCATTGCTGTTATGTCTTTTATATGAATCGTGTGCAGAATATTCAATTCGACGATACTAAGGAGAATCATGTATTGGCTATGATTTTTTACCTAATTTTAATATTTTAGGGGCATTTTGGCACATTTTGGCCATTAAAAATACAAAAATTTCGCTAACGTCAGCAAAAATAAGCCCCCCTTTTTTAAATATGCATAAATACATGCAGTGTTATCGAGGATGAGGAGAAATGATTAAAGACAGAGTCATTGACAGAAGTCTCGTTCTTACAGTAGGTTAATGAACCCTACCCCTTAAGTAGAAGAATAAAAAAACAGTAAAAATTTGATATAAACTATAGTATCTTGGCGATCAGCAATTTTCTTCTGATACAGTTTATCACTTAGTACCTTATTAATTTACCGATCTAATTTCTAAAATATCTCGAAAAATACAGTGATGCGCCAGAAATCGTTATTTCGCTTTAGGTTACAAGGAAGTAATTATTTACATAGGCGACAATGGTAGCCTTTTTTGGTCCTGCGTTTTCATTATCAAAGATCCATAGAAAAAAATGTCGAATTCTGAATTATCAACACCTTTGGGGTGTAATTGAAACTGCAAAACACATATGGTGCCGCAGCTTTTTTGATAGAAAAATTGCATTTTTTAAGGGTACTCAACGGTTCCGGAATTTTCGAAATAGTATAAACGAAGAACACCCCTTGCTAAATTTGGCACAGAAAATGTTGCTCGTCACAGAGAGTTTTCTCTAAATTTCTCGCTATTTCTACACCAATGGCCAACACTCATTTCTCACTATTTCAATTTTGATTTCTAATTACAAGGGCAGCAGAAAATAAATTTACTTCTACCTATTACCTTGGATGTAAAATCTAGGTGGCGCCAGTCATCTTTATTAACTTCCTTTTAACCTTCAAGAAATTAGAGCTAAACATCAGTCATGTAAGTAGACAGTGATCATATATGTATTAAGTATATTTGGTATCGGTTTTTTAGAACTGAATCGTTAGAACAAAATTACTTGCCAAAGCAAAAATACTCGTTTTGTACCTTTACGACGTAAAATTATTAGAGTTTAGCTAAACATATTGAGTATTAAAAACAAAGGATTTATTGTATAAATATTACATAGCTATTAAACAGTATCTGTGTGCTACTATAAGTCGTGTCTATACACGTTCAAAATCGTATCAAACTGACCATAGTGGCATTCATAGAAATTAGGTTTTGAACAATAGACTATTAGTGAATAGAAAAGTTATTCTGTAAACTTGTCTATGACTATGGAATGCAAAATTAATATATAAGTGCAACATTCATGGATGGTATTATTTTCAATATAATAATGTTAATTTGACTTACTGAATATAATTTGAAAATAGAATTATCATAGTAGTATTGAAAAAAATATTAATTTACAAATAATGCTAATAGCCTCTTCAAATCTTCAATTTCAAAACATCAATAATAAATAAACCTATATGTGGTGTTAGTAGAATTAGGAAACATCTGAACATTGCATACATTTGTAACAGAGGTATTATTAGCATTTATATGGCAAGCCAAAGTGGACAAAAAGAGTTTTGTTTTAATATTAAAAAATCATTTTATATTATTAGACAATGCATATCTAATATTAAGAAATTAATTTATAATATTGAAAAAGAAAAACACTTTTCCTAATATTAAAAATTGAATTTGTAATATTAGAAAATTAATTTGTACTATTGACTAATCATTTCTTAATATTAAAAAATCTATTTCTAATATTAAAAAATCATTTATTAATATAATACAAATTTATTTTCTAATATTACAAATTCATTTTTTAATTTAAGAAATTCATTTTCTAATATAAGAAATTCATTTTTTGATATAAGAAATTAATTTTTTTATATTCAAAATTCAAAATTATTTTCTTATATTTGAAATTCATTTTCCAATATTAATAAAAAAAATTTATATTAGAATATTTTTATACGACCGCAAGAAAAACAGTTTAGGAATTAGGGGCCAAAAAGGGGCCCAAATAAGCATTTTTCTAGTTTCCAGACAATAACTTGTGGAATGGTGTATGGATCTCTCTGAAATAATACCACAAGTTTCCATACCATAAAGGGATGGTAAACATTGGCTTTGGGAGGTTATGACTCAAACCGTTTAGGAATTAGGGGCAAAATAGGGGGAAAACAAGGGTGTCCTGGTTAATGGACAATCTCTTAAGTACAAAATATAATTTAAAAGCAGTGTAAGGGAAGTAATTCAAACACAACTTTTTGAATTATCTCCCTTACACTGCTTTTTATTATGAATGAAGAAATGTTGTATTGACTTGAGGTGATTACCTGTCAATTTATTTTTAGAAGTTACTATTTTAAAAATGCTGATGAAGGTAATTTAATTTTAGCCATGATTATGTATGTCATTTTCTATTTTAAGACTTTTATTATGTATTCAAATGGGTTATTATGGTGCAAACTCCATTGGAAATTTGAATTGAGATTATGACCATATCTTGAGGGAAAGATTTTTTTTTTGGAAAAGGGGGGTGGGGGACAATTTTTTCTCAAGATTACAAAATAAAAAAAAAACAAAATTTCTTCAAATATTATTTTTTTTTTGGGGGGGGGGGGGGGAGTCAATTTGCAACAGCATAGTGTATTGCACAAAAGCAAAAAATTGAATATAAATTCAAATCACATAATCAATTCCAGTTCTTTGACTACAGTTATTCTGTGTCAGAAACTTATTATGTGTCAAATATTTAATAACAATCCAAATTCAGACCTGTATCAAGTGCGAATATTGTGTTCATTTTTGCCCCAACTGTTCGGGGTTAGACCTCTACAGTCGTATCCAGCTGCGCTCGGCGAAGCAATTTTTTTTTTTTAATATTAAGAAATCATTTTCTACTATTAAAAACTCATTTTCCAATATTAAAAAATCAACTTTCACAGTCATGATAGTTACAAATTAAAATCTCCACCACTAAAGAATTTTGACTTATCACTTGTTTATTATCTTTTCAATAACTAAATCATTTCCTATTAAATGTTAAGAATTCATTTTCTTATATTAAAAAATGCAGTATTTTTTAATATTAAAAAATCATATTTTAATATTAAAAAATCATATTTTAATATTAAAAAATCATATTTTGATATTAGAAAAGCATTTTTTAGTATTAGAAAAGGATTTCTAATATTAGAAAATGATTTTGTTATATAAGAAAATGAATTTGAAATATTAAAAAATTGATTCTTTATATTAAGAAATGAATTTTTAATATTGAAAAAAAATTTTAATATTAAAAAAATATTTTCTAATATTAAAAAAATATTTTCTAATATTAAAAAAATAGCTGTTTTGTCGCCATAAATTTCGGGTAATAATTTTAGACAAATTAATGCACATTATCTTTATAAACTTGATAAATTTATGAGATGGGGTTGGATTTCTTTTGGCACAAATGAAACATAACCTTGTGGTCTCAAATGAAAGATTAGATTTTGTAAAAATTGGGGTAAATGCAATGCACCTGTTTGCGAGAGCTCAACACTTCCTGACATGCCTGAAGCTGAGACAGTCACAGGCACATATAGAATGTGTTGGGATGAACATGTTTGTGAAAGCTCAACCCTTCCTGGTATGACTGAAGCTGAGAAATTCACAGGCACATATAGAATGTGGTGGGGTTGACATGCTCGTGAAAGCCCAATCCTTCCTGACATGACTGAAGCTGGGCCAGTCACAGACACAAGCATGGAATATGAGTTTGGAAATATTTACAATATTAGAATGGACAAAAGGAAAACTATCATGACTATGTCCAAAAAGTAAAATTTAACACTAAAAAAGGACCAAATAAGCATCCCTTTATAAAAAAAAATTATTGATTTTTCCCTCGTGAAACTAATTCATATATCCAAATATAGAAAATTTGTTTCATATAATAGTTAACTTTTCTCTTATTAAGATTCCACAACACTCAAATAAAATGAGGTGATAAAGAGTGTACAGCAACCAATGAATTGTCGGACATCACAAAATCAGAAAGATCTGTAATTACCTCCCTTTGATCATCTACAGTTTAGTTTATATTGGAAAACATCAGCTTTCATGTTGGAAGACGCAATCAGACCGGTAAAAATCAGGATAGGGATATTATATATATGGTAAAGGGTTGATCATAGTTCAAATTTACAGATTCACATAGAACACACTGGTAATAAAACTTTATGAATATGATGTATGTGGTTCAAAGATTAAGTCAGAGCCAGCTTTAAAGCCTTTTGCAGAGACAGACTAGAAAACACACTGATGATGAACCTTATACAGGTGATGAGTTTAGTCGTTGTTCAAACTTACAAATTAAGATGAGACCAGAAACTGGTGATAAACTCAACACATGTGATATATGTGGTAAAGGGTATGCTCATACTTCAACCTTAGGGAGACACATAAGAACACACACTGGTGATAAACCTTATAGATGTAATGTATGCGGTAAAAGATTTTCTGACTGTTCAAACTTAAACAGCCACACAAGAACACACACAGGTGATAAACCGTATAAATGTAATATGTGTAGTAAAGCTTTTGCTCAAAGTTCAACCTTATGGAGACACACAAGAACGCACACTGGTGATAATTCGTATAAATGTGATGTATGCGGTAAAAAGTTTACTCAGAGTAATGATATGAAGAGACATATGAGAATACACACTGGTGATAAACCGAGTAAATGTGATATATGTGGTAAAGGGTTTGCTCAAAGTTCAACATTGCAGAGACACATGAGTACACACACTGTTGATCAATCTGATATAGACGATGAGTTAAGTCACAGTTCAAACTTACAAATTAAGATGAGAACACATACTGGTGATAAACCTAATACATGTGATATATGTGGTAAAGGATTTACTGATAGTTCAATATTAAAGAGTCACACAAGAACACTTACTGATGATAAACCTTCTATAGGTTGCATTTCTGTAAATATTGACAATGCAATTTCCCATAGGAACTCCTTTTACGGCTAAAACTGTACCACTTTTACTATGAAGTTTTGAAATAAATCATATCCTAGAATGGAAAGTCCATATGCACTACAATTTTTTTCAAAGGTCAAAATATAGGGCTGTGCGGCATATTTTCAACGTTTATATGTCCCGAACTTCTAAGAGTTTAAACTAACACTAAATTTCTTAGCTATCCCTACCTTGACTGTAGGATTACCACAGATTTCTATATAGACAATATGCTTATGTATATTTACTGGTAACATTCCCAAGTTATGTCTCTATGAGATGAAACCTAGAGATCATAACTGGGAACCAGTATGTAAACAAAATTAATTATCTATGAATATTCTATATCTCCCCAAAAGAGGCGTGGTTTGAGAAACAGCTGTATTTACAAAGTGCAACCTATACAAACATTTATTCCAATAGAAAACTCTCTAAAAACACTTTTCGCTCACATTAATACTTATTTATCAAAATTATAGCCTTAAACATGTTAAAGAAACCATTGCATAAACTCTAAGTTTTCTTTTACTGTTCATTTGATACCCCCTCCCCTGTTTCAATTTTTTAAAGAATTTGAAAACAAGACTTTAATTTTTGCCAGATTACCCTATTTGCATGTTTTTTTACATGAAATGTTAGAACCTGTTTAAAACTGTTCTGATAACATATTGAAAGCATTTCAGAACACTGTAAATGTTATGTTTAGCAGTCAATCATTCCAACATTCCAGATTATATGAAGTATCAAATCCTGCCTGTGTCTCCAGTCCACATTTTACTGTATGCCTATTTGTCAATGAAAGTTCACAATTTCTGCCTCAAATGGTCAGTTTAGAATTCTTGTCACAACAGTATCATCTCTAACCATATATCTGACATAATTTAGCTAATATATGAGCTAGAAGTGTTAAAACAAAACCATATTTGCAATAGTTGTATGTATGCAGATACCAGTCTGATGTATAAATTCACTTAAAATTTTAAAGAAATGACTGCTAACATCTAATTTTTGCATAACTTCCAAGCACAGTTATTGTTTTCTATATTAAGACCTTTAAAATCATAAAATCATAGCATTTACATGTTAAATTATTTGTTTTATGACCCAGGGGGTAGGCAATCTTCTATATTTTTTACCCCTGGGGCCTCAAATTTCTTAAATTATTCTGCTGTTTCTAGCAATATGGAATATTTAGTACATATTCAGGATAGAACACACTATTGTAAGTTTTGTTGAGATATTTTTGTATTTCTAGCTTGTATTTTTTGTGCCGCGGTGACAAAAAAGCAGATTTAGGCGTTACCGCTTACTTTTGGGTTATCAACAGGACAAAAACACCCCCACCAATAATATTCAGGAAGGATCTATGAGTTTCAATGACTGTGAAGAGTAAATATAAGCACTTCTAAACAATTTAACTTACAAATATGCATATATTATGAATTTATTTTGCATTCAGGGCTTTAAGTAAACTATGCATACTGTAAACTGAGAATTTATGCTGAGTCATCATAGTTAAAGCCCAGGATTTTCTCAATCTTCATGAAATATTTATACAACTTCATATTTGAGTTAATTTCTTTAAAATCTGTGAGATAAACTAAATTTGGTTAAATTCTGTATGTTCTCTTTTTTCACCCAATATATACAAACATTTATTCCAATAGAAAACTCTCTAAAAACACTTTTTCTCACATTAATACTTATTTATCAAAATTATAGCCTTAAAGAAATCTTTGCATAAACTCTAAGTTTTCTTTTGCTGTTCATATGATACCCCTTCCCCTGTTTCAATTTTTTAAAGAATTTGAAAACAAGACTTTAATTATTGCCAGATTACCCTATTTGCATGTTTTTTGACATGAAATGTTAGAACCTGTTTAAAACTGTTCTGATAACATATTGAAAGCATTTCAGAATACTGTAAATGTTATGTTTAGCAGTCAATCATTCCAACATTCAAGATTATATGAAGTATCAAATCCTGCCTGTGTCTCCAGTCCACATTTTACTGTATGCCTATTTGTCAATGAAAGTTCACAATTTCTGCCTCAAATGGTCAGTTTAGAATTCTTGTCACAACAGTATCATCTCTAACCATATATCTGACATAATTTAGCTAATATATGAGCTAGAAGTGTTAAAACAAAACCATATTTGCAATAGTTGTATGTATGCAGATACCAGTCTGATGTATAAATTCACTTAAAATTTTAAAGAAATGACTGCTAACATCTAATTTTTGCATAACTTCCAAGCACAGTTATTGTTTTCTATATTAAGACCTTTAAAATCATAAAATCATAGCATTTACATGTTAAATTATTTGTTTTATGACCCAGGGGGTAGGCAATCTTCTCTAGTTTTTACCCCTTGGGCCTCAAATTTCTTAAATTATTCTGCTGTTTCTAGCAATATGGAATATTTAGTACATATACAGGATAGAACACACTATTGTAAGTTTTGTTGAGATATTTTTGTATTTCTAGCTTGTATTTTTTGTGCCGCGGTGACAAAAAAGCAGATTTAGGCGTTACCGCTTACTTTTGGGTTATCAACAGGACAAAAACACCCCCACCAATAATATTCAGGAAGGATCTATGAGTTTCAATGACTGTGAAGAGTAAATATAAGCACTTCTAAACAATTTAACTTACAAATATGCATATATTATGAATTTATTTTGCATTCAGGGCTTTAAGTAAACTATGCATACTGTAAACTGAGAATTTATGCTGAGTCATCAAAGTTAAAGCCAAGGATTTTCTCAATCTTCATGAAATATTTATACAACTTCATATTTGAGTTAATGTCTTTAAAATCTGTGAGATAAACTAAATTTGGTTAAATTCTGTATGTTCTCTTTTTTCACCCAATATAGGTTGCATTTCTGTAAATATTGACAATGCAATTTCCCATAGGAACTCCTTTTACGGCTAAAACTGTACCACTTTTACTATGAAGTTTTGAAAAAAATCATATCCTAGAATGGAAAGTTCATATGCACTACAATTTTTTTCAAAGGTCAAAGTATAGGGCTGTGCGGCATATTTTCAACGTTTATGTGCCCCGAACTTCTAAGAGTTTAAACTAAAACTAAATTTCTGAACTATCCCTACCTTGACTGTAGGATTACCACAGATTTCTATATAGACAATATGCATATGTATATTTACTGGTAACATTCCCAAGTTATGTCTCTATGAGATGAAACCTAGAGATCATAACTGGGAACCAGTATGTAAACAAAATTAATTATCTATGAATATTCTATATCTCCCCAAAAGAGGCGTTGTTTGAGAAACAGCTGTATTTACAAAGTGCAACCTATAGGTTATGAGTTAAGTCATAGTTCAAACTTACAAAAATTACCAAAGATGAAATCACATACTGGTGATAAACCCAATACATGTGATATATGTGGTAAATGGTTTGCTCATACTTCAACCTTAAGGATACACATGAGAAAACACACTGGTGATAAACCTTATAAATGTGATGTATGCTGTAAAAGTTTCGCTCAGAGTTCAAATTTAAAAACACACATAAGAACACACACTGGTTATAAACCGTATGAATGTGATGTGTGTGGAAAAGGGTTTGGTGTTTCTTCAAACTTGCACATGCATATGAGAACGCATACTGGTTACAAACCTTATAAATGTTATATATGTGGTAAAAGATGTAATTAGAGTAATGCTATGCAGAAACACATGAGAACACACAAGGGTGATAAACCTTATGAATGTGATATATGCGGTAAAGGGCTTGGTGATAATTCAACATTGCAGAAACACATGAGAATACATACTGGTAATAAACCTTATAAATGTGATGTGTGTAGTAGAGAGTTTGGTGATCGTTCAAGCTGACAGAGACATGTGAGAAGACACATTTGTGATAATTAATCCTAATAAATGTGATAAGTGTTGTAAAGGGTTTATTTAAACAAACTGCACACTTGTAAGTGATCATACTCTGTTGATAAGCCTTATAAAAGTGATATATGTATATGCAGTGAATTGATTAGTCAATGTTACAAAAACTTGCTGCTTTCTAACTGTTTCTAAGCCTTGTACAAATAAAATATATACTTCGAGACAATCATGACAATGTATGGAATTACTCGCTGCATTGAAGACCTGTTGGTGGCCTTCTGCTGTTGTCTGTTCTGTGGTCGGGTTGTTGTCTCTTTGACACATTCCCCATTTCCATTCTCAATTTTATTATTCTACATGTATGTGGTAAACGGATTAGTAAATGTTACACATCAGAACACACACTTGAGATAAATTAAAACTGTAATGTATGTGGTAAATGGATTAGTCAATGTTACACATCAGAACACACACTTGAGATAAATTATAAATGAAATGTATGTGGTAAATGACTTAGCTAATGTAACTCATCAGAACACACACTTGAGATAAATTATAACTGTAATGTATGTGGTAAATTGAAAAGCCAATGTTACACATCAGAACACACACTTGAGATACATCATACCTGTAATGAATGTGGTAAATGGATAAGCCAATGTTACATATCAGAACACACACTGGAGATAAATTATAAATTAAATGTGGTAAATGGGTTAATCAATGTTACACATCAGAACACACACTTGAGATAAATTATAACTGTAATTTATGTGGTGAATGGATTAGTAAATGTTACACATCAGAACACATGCTTGAGATTTAAATTATAAATGAAATGTATGCGGTATATGGGTTTGGCAATGTTACACATTTAAACACACACTTGAGATAAATTATTACTGTAATGTATGTGGTGAATGGATTAGTCAATGTTGCACATCAGTACACACACTTGAGATAAATTATAACTGTAATGTATGTGGTAAATGGATAAGTCAATGTTACACATCAGAACACACACTTGAGATAAATTATAAATGAAATGTATGTGGTAAATGGGTTAATCAATGTTACCCATCATAACACACACTGAAAATAAATTAAATTTGTAATGTAAGTGGTAAATGTATAAGCCAATGTTACACATCAGAACACACACTTGAGATGATTTATAAACGAAATGTATGTGGTAAATGGGTTAGACAATGTTACACATCAGAACACACACTGAACATGCTGAAGATACATTATAAATGAAATGTATGTGGTAAATGGGTTAGTCAATGTTACACATCAGAACACACACTTGAGATAAATTATAACTGTAATGTATGTGGTAAATGGTTAAGTCAATGTTACACATCAGAAGACACACTTGAGATAAATTATAACTGAAATGTATGTGGTAATGGGTTGGTCAATGTTACACATCAGAAGACACACTTGAGATAAATTATAACTGTAATGTATGTGGTAAATGGTTTAGTCAATGTTACACATCAGAAGACACACTTGAGATAAATTATAACTGAAATGTATGTGGTAAATGGTTTAGTCAATGTTACACATCAGAAGACACACTTGAGATAAATTATAACTGAAATGTAAGTGGTAATGGGTTAGTCAATGTTACACATCAGATCACACACTGAAGATAAATTATAAATGAAATGTATGTGGTAAATAGATAGGTCAATATTACATATCAGAAAACACAATGGAGATAAATTGTAACTGAAATGTATGTGGTAAATGGATTGGTCAATGTTACATATCACAACACACTCTGTAGAATGGTGTATAGTATAGTGACTTACAGAAACACCAGAGAAAACACACTTTTGATAACATTTAAATGTGTTATGTCATATACATGTTGTATGTGTGCGAAAGAGACCAATCTTTCAGATGCACAGTAGAATACACAATAGTGATAAGGGATAAACCATTTAACTTCAAGGGCGGTTATGGTTTTTATACGACCGCAAAAAATTTTTGGGATCGTATAATGGTATGATGTCGTCGTCGTTGTCGTCTGTGTCGTCGTCTGCGTCGTCGTTTGAAGACACATTGGTTTCCGGACAAAAACTTTAGTTTAAGTAAATGGATCTCTATGAAATTTTTTAAGAAGGTACAATACCACAAAAGGGAGGTTGGGATTGATTTTAGGGATGATGGACCCAACTGTTTAGGAATTAGGGGCCCAAAACAAGCATTTTTCTAGTTTCAGGATAATAACTTGTGTTTAAGTTTCAAAATTTTTGAATAGTTTCAAGAAGAAATCTTCAATTGCGCAGTATTGCGCAATGGGTTTATAAGATCTTTGACCACATTTATTTTGTGTCAGAAACCTATATTATGTCAAAAATTTGATCACAATCCAAATTCAGACAGTATCAGGCTTGAATATTGTGTCCAAATTTGCCCAAACTGTTCAGGGTTCGACCTCTGCGGTCAGCGAAGCATTTTATTTGTCTGAGTCAGACAAAAAATATTGCACACATTTTTATTTGTTTGTTCGAAGCTATCAATTGATTTATTTTTTTTTTAAATTTAACTCTATAGGAATGATAAGGTATAGAGAATATCTGAATTCAAAATAAACACTAATTGTTGTTTGTTCCCGTCTGTCATTTCGAGATTATGAGTAAAAAAATATTTACTATTTATTAAGATTTAAAAATGTTAAATAAAATGCTAGTTGTTGTTTACTTTCTGTTTATCTATCATTCGAATGTATTAATGGGGTTTATCACAACATGAAAAAAAAATATTGCTGCATTCGGAAGTATATAATAATGTAGTTCTGGACTTTTCGATGTTGTTTTTATGCCCCCTCCGAAGCGGAGAGGGCATTAAGTTTTACCCTTGTCCGTCCGTCCGTACGTTCCAAAATTGGTTTCCATTCTCTTTGGTCAACTGCTGTCGGAAGTGTGTCTATTGAGTAAGTACAGAAATTTCCCCTCGTAACTTGTCAGCTAAGCACGGACCGCTAAGCACTGAAGTTGTTCAAGTTGTGTCAGGAAATAAATATATGATTATTTCTATATAGATTCAAATCCGGTTGCCGTAATGAAATCTAGATATCAGGTGTACGTCCGTTTATGACAATTTCGCCGGTTAGTTCGTATTTAAAACTTCGATTCAATCTGATTGATTGTTTTGTTATGTTTATGCTAACAGAAACTCCACATATAGTATTGTGTTTATGTTTATTGTTTGTTTTTTTATACATATACTTTTCTCAATACAAATACTAGCATATGAAACAAATCTTCGTGATTTTAAAAGCTCTCATGGTGTACAAAAAAACGCGAACGACAATGTTTAGTCTTCATTCAACTCGAAGTTAAACAAATAGTTGACCCAAAAAAAAACACAACAAAAATGTACAAGTTTAATTACGGTTGTGATCGTTTTGAAACGCTATATATGCGGAGCTTCCGGGAGGCTTCGCCCCAGGTCCCCCTACCAGAGCACTGGGGGCCTTAAGCGGTCCCCAGACCCCTCGCCCTTTAGTTTGTGATTCCGCTTCATTTAGGAGGTAGCTACGCCTCTGGTAACTGAAGTTTGCCTCAACCAAATGTTATCAAACTTAATATACACAATGCTTATTACCACAAAACACAGATCAAATTTGAATTTTGGTGGCGTCACTTTAACCGTTCTAGAGTTACGCCCCTTTATTTTTTCTCAAACTGATAGCCTTGTTAAATATTATATGAAGAAAACAGAACATATATTGCCAATACCATACTAGTTGTACAGACAATTTTTACCACAGGCTGAAATTGTCTATTATCAAACATATCTTTAGCAGCAATCAGTTTTAAAGTGCAGTCAAGAAATCTCCCACTAACGGCCTTCTTTCACATAATTTGCTTAATTGTAAATGCATTGCTGTCTTATTAACATTAAACTTTCTTAATAAAACAATCATATTTACCAGAATGAAATACAGGATTTATAAACCTGACTAGCGTGTTGTCTACAGAAGACCCATCATTGACGCTCGAATCAGGAAGGTTTAGAAGGCCAAATAAAGTACGAAGTTATAGAGCACCAACTTTTTTTTCATTGATATTCAGATTAAGATGAAAGAGTTTACCTACATAGCAAGATAGTGATGAAATGGAACTTACATTTAATATTGTAATTTTTTAAATACATTAAATTAAATTAAATTCATATTCGGTATGTTCTTCTCTTCAAATTATGGGTTGTGGGTGTTAGTTTGTCTGAACAGGTATGCAACATGTGTTTGATTATACACGTCCATGCATTTATACTCTTCGGGATTATCTAACTGTTAATGTTCGGTCGTAGCTGTTTTATTTTCCCTTTCAGTTGTTTCATCGATTGGTTCATAATTCCTTTTATATTCTTCAGATGAAATCATGGTGTTTGGATAGCGGTTAGTCGGGTTAGTATCTACCTCGTGTGCAACATTCAATTTATCATATGAATTCGGGGTTTTTATCTTTTGTGTCATTATCTAACGGTTTGTATACTTAAGTAACTGACTTATTATCAATTTTAGTAGTTGCTTTGGTTGGTTCAAAATTTCTATGTGCCTCAGTTGATATGTTGGTCTTGGATTTGTAGTTCGTCTGGTCAGTGTCTACCGCGTGTGTAACATACAATTTCGTGCCTTCATCTATTTCGACATTGTCTAACTTTTCGAATTCCAAAGTAACTGTATTGCCATACATCTCGTTTGGTGCTTCGATTGATTCATCATAATAAGAGGTGTTGGACTGGTCTACAGCACTTATAACATGCATTTGATCATAAGCTTTCATTCTTTTCTTTATGTTATCAACATGTTCTAACTGTTTGATGTCCAAAGTACCGGTAGGTGTTTCATTGTCCTTATTGAAAGTGTAACGATCTCCACTTCAAATTGCACTCATTGATAACTGTTCTTTGGAATACTTCCTACAAAAGAAATAATAGACTGAAACAGAGAACCGTGTTCGAAATTCCAGTAATAAAGAAATTATAAAAAAAAGAGGCAAAAGATTTGTATACTGAGTAGACATCCAAATCTAGAGAAAAACTGACAACACCATGACAAAAGAAAAAGATGAAAAGACAAACAAGTTCACAAAATCCAATATAGAAATCTAAAGACTGAGCAATAGGAATTCAACAGAAACTGGCCAGGGTAAGCAGATCCTGCTACAATTCCGGCACGCGTCGCGTTACTTATGGTTAAAAAATATAAAAAATTCGATGATAAGTCACACTCGGTAATGTCAATATCGAGGGAAAGAGGACGATGATTACGACAATTGAACTTGGTTTTTTCTGAATCTTTGCCGTTGTCATACAATGCATTTCATGTTATTTTGAATAACCATGTTGTCAATAGACCGTTCTATTCTGTCAATAGACCGTTCTATTCATTGAATTACCTACCTCCGATACATGAATACTAGTATCCCAAGTATTGTCATTATTATCACAGTAACCGATACCACTATTCCAACTATCATTGCTGAAAAAAACAATATGATATATGAGCCTTACATTTAAACAATCATGAAACGTTTAATTTTGTTAAAGAATGTGTCTAATTAATACTCAAAATTTATTTTATTTTTATGCTAATGACAGATATATGCATAGAGTCTTTGCTAAACTAAGTTACATCTTTTCTAGATTAGTATTTTCAAAAACGCAGTATGAAGTGAAAAAAATGCATGTTTCCGCTGCTTTTTACGTACATCCGTTACATGCAAAGACTTATTTCAAAAAACTTAAATTACATGAAGCTGTATCTCTGAAAGTATAACTTTGCTATTAATTGCGATTTCGCAAAATTCCGTCCGAACAAATTTTGTATAAAAATGGTATATCATTGCTGTGTTCATTTCAGTTGTAATTATATATTCTCAAAGGTAGCATACATGGTATGAGGGTCGATTTTGGTCTAAAGTACATGTAGGTACTACTCTCATGCTTAAAAAGCTTTAACAACATGACGGAAAACTTCTTTCCTGTTGATGTTATCGGAATTTTTCCTAAACATCATAAAAGAAGCATACGATTTCCCGCAAATTGGTATATCTGATAACCGAAAGCTATCTATATAAATAAAACAAATATGCACCATTAACCTTCAGAAACTCATCAGGTACATGTAGCACCTGCCCCGTATTTCGATAGTACAATGGGGGTCGCCAGAGTAATTTTTACAGTATAATTTCAATTTGTCTCGATATGTAGAATGAAAAAGCGTTACAAGGACAAACAAAACATAACGTCATGAAGACGCCATGCTACAATATCACATATCACTCAATTACAAATAATTCAGACAGCACCCACGAATCCCATGACCCATTGATATCTTTATTTCAGTAAAACCAAAATGTTCACAAGAATATCATATAATTTTCAAACAAAGTTATGTTGACGAAATTTTTGGAATTTTGTCATGTATAATGATATTGAGTCATTTGCACTCAGTTTGGTATCCATTTAAATTGGTGTTTTGCAATTCAAGCTCTAATGGTTATTGATGCGGTCATTTGTATTTTCCATTTTACTTACCAGTATCATTGCTCAGTATTGTAGATGATCTACTAGTTGGACCATAAGGAAAGTCTGCAAAGATACATTTTTTTTTCAAATCATATTAAAGATTAACTAAAAAGAAGTTTCAGAAGGATCCATGATTCTCCTAGTCCAAATTGGATTTCCAATATCTACTAGTATAAATTAGAATTCATATATAAACTTATTAAAATAAAGTACAAATCAAAATTCTAATATCTACTAGTATCCAGTAATATCCATGTACAATGATAATGAGCCATTTGCACTCAGTTAGGTATCCATTTACATTGGTGTTTTGCAATTTAAGCTCTAACTGTTATTGATGCGGTCATTTGTATTTTCCATTTTACTTGCTCAGTATCGTAGATGATCTACTAGTTGGACCATAAGGTAAATCTGCAAAGATACATTTTTTTTTTCAAATCAAAGTAAAGATTAACTAAAAAGAAGTTATAGTAGGATCCGTGATCCTCCTAGTCCAAATAAGATTTCTAATATCTACTAGTATAAATTAGAATTCTTATATATACATGATATACAAATTAGAATTCTTATATATACATGCTCCGTGTTGAAGGCCGTACTTTGACCTATAATGGTTTACTTTTATAAATTGTAACTTGGATGGAGAGTTGTCTCATTGGCACTCATACCACATCTTCCTATATCCATGATATACTTATTAAAATTAAGTACAAATCAAAATTAGTATATCTACTAGTATCCAGTAATATCCAGATTTGAACAATGAGGTTCTTGACTGCATTACATTTTAAGTAGGATCCAGGATTTTACAAAAGATATAATAAGTATGACTATAAATTGTACTTGATTTTTGTTATAGCTATTATTTTCACTGATGTTTTGGATTGACTGATTGTTTGATTGGTGTTTAACGCCACTTTCTGCACTATGGGCTATGTCGTGACGGTCAGATTTAATTGGTTGAGGAAGCCTGAGTGCCCGGAAAGAACCACCGACCTTCGGCAGGAAAAATGACAATCCTTGTCAATTAAGATTGGAGTCGAGCGCACCTGCCAAATGCGAGTTTCGAACTCAAAACCTCAGTTCTGACAGGCTGGTGATACAGTTGGGTCAATATTCGTAATTGTTTCTCCATAGGCGGTAATGGTAACGTTTTCTTCTGTTGCTCAGTCCATATCGTTAACTTGGATATGTATGATGGCTCGTTTCGAAGCTGATACATTTTCACATATGTGGTTAAATTTTTGGGGTATGAAGTGAGATTACTTTTTCCGTAAATTAGCAAACCCCGAGAATTCTTTCGTGATGCGGCTCCTCGTGGTAAAAAATCCCTTTTTTAACACAATAAGTTCTCTGAAAATTTAATACTTTGAACACATTCAATAGCTCCATAGTTTTTACACATTTATTCTATGTTCCCCTACTTTCTAAATAAGCACAAATGATTAAGCTCAGTCACATGTTTATCATAGAAACGTGTCAAATATCACTACACAGAGATTTTTTTGTTTACACACAACTTTTGAGTTCCTCATTTTGAGGCGCATTAGGGATATTGACCCAGTTATTGCACTTCTTAGACCACAGGGTCACCGAGGCCGCTGATACGTTTGATTAGTAGCATAACAAAACAAATTATAATAAATGCAACTTTCTTGAATTTTTGTTTTAAATGATTTATTTATGATCAAAAAAGATTTGCTAATATTTTTATAGTCTTGTAATAAGCAAACACTTTGAGCTTGAAAACATGAACAAACAATTCTATAATTTGTAATGCACAATTGAAGAAAGAAACCAACTGACATTCGTCACCGAATTTGTTTTCTCTCAAATGCTTGAATATGTAACCTACCCAGAGCAACAAAAGGTCAATTGAACTTAGTCCAGGGAAACAGATTGTACGTAAATTAACACGCTCGTATTATAAATAACAAGTTTTAAACGCTAATTGTTTCTATATCAGGAATTTGCAATATAGCTGATCTGTTTTAATTTTATTTGAAAGGGATGTTTTGAAGCTCACTTAAATGACTTTGTTTACCAAACGTTGTATAAATTTCCTGAAAGTAGTTTTTGTCCAGTGTTTGTTTTTACCTAATAAAAATGGAGATGTATATAAATATCTATCTCACGTCACAACTGTTATACGAGATTTATGCGGTGTAGAGTTTTTGTCAGAACTATTCGTTCTTTCTTCACACTTCCAAATTACTTATAATGTAGCTTGTCATCTTACTGGACACCTAAGTTCAGATAAAATTATTGTTATAATGGTATAATTCAATTTTGGATGTAACACGTCTTCTGATTGGCTGAAGGTTTTTTTGTCTATCAGCTTATAGACATAATTTTGTCATGTGACCTTGACGTCACCAACGTTTCTTTTCATGATATTATCGAGTTCCGAAATCAATGATGACCATCGTCTTTCTCTTATAGAAACATAGGAAATAAATTATTAAAATACTTTTGTATATAAGTGTTCTATCCCCTATCCCTGGATAGAAACAAAGGTGATTTATGTTAGATGATTGTTTATTTTACATTTTACATACAAGTGAACAAAGCGTAGCTCTTCAGGGCCATCGATTCGATTCCAACATAACTTGCTATATCTCAGTCAAACATTTATGACATTGCGCTTTACCATTATATTCAATTGTTCATCATTTAGAAAATTGGGAGTTACATCACTATAAAACTCACATGACGGAATGTTTAATGTATTTTTTTATGTAAAACTCCAATGATAAGTCGCATTTGATAATTCATATACGAGGAGAGGAGATTTACAGGTTTGGAGGACGTTCAGTAAAACAATCAATGTATATGCAGTAGACTTAGCTGAAACTTTGTTATCCTTAATTAAGTTTAATAGAATTGATGTGGTCGACATTGTTTCATAACATTTGATTCTAATTCAATTTTATTTAACAATTTTTGTCATTTGCTAAAATTTCCGGATAAATCCACAATTCACATATCTTGGGTCGGAAAACTGAATTGGTGGAATTCACAAATATTCAAGTATTCAAGTAATACAATAAAGTCGAAAAATAAACATAACCTTCATAAAAAACGCCGTTCAATGAGATGTTATCCCTATCTGAATTGTATAAGCAACGAAATAACAATCGGATTCAAATTTTCATTTGTATGACGTCATGTTTTACCAGAATTCTGTTAATGGGCCAAAATCATGCTTGAAGTAGTTTCTCGGAATTGATTTCATCTTAGATTATTACATTTGCTCATGTTCTAATGGAAAATTTCTTTTTGTAATGCATTAGAAATGTAATACCAAAACTGTCGTTGTAGAGTTGCCACGTCAATAAAACTGCATTTACGATCTCCAAATCGCCAATTGATAGCGGCAACTTTTCAACTACAGACTAATTGTTAACAGTTTGTTCTTATGTTGTACTGTCACATCACTTCAAACGTGAGTGGGGTTTAACTCTCCAAACCAGAAGCTTGCAGTGTAGGTATTGTCGTCTCTTTTCCGTTAGCAATATATGTTTTTTTTGTAATTGTCTCATTAGAAATAACATGAATAAGGTCATTTGTTTCATCTTTTTATATTTTTTAAATTTTGTCATGCCCTGGCTTTGATTTTGTTCATTGTTGAAGGCCGAAAGGTAATCGGTAGTTGTTTACATCGTAATCCTGTGTTCTCTTGTGGATAATCTTTTTATCCCCTCATACCACGTCCCCTTGTTTTCGTATTGAGCAAAATGAAACCCATGGAAAAGAGGAGATGGACTCTCGAAGGGTGAGCGTGTTTGCTTCACTAGAGGCAGATATTGTGCTGATAAAGTCAGAAAATAGACGATGAAGTCAAAACTAATGAACAGAGGAAGGACGGGAATTTTGGAAGCATTTTTGAAATATATATTGTTAAATTTATTTATAACTTTGGTAGACTATTAACGATTCAGCGCTTGACATAGTGCTCATACAACTGTATTAGAATGTGTTTAAACATTTGTCAGCTTACATGAATTTTTTAACTTATCGATTTTATTCAAAGAACAGTACTGTCGTTGAAGAGTTGCTGTCATCAATTGCGGATTTCACGATCGTAAACGCAATTTTACTGGCGAAAGGTAGCGGAGATAGTAAAACGGATATTTCCCACCGTCAAAAACAGTTACCACAGTACTGTTACTCCTATTTTTCAAAAGCATTACAAAAAGATCAAAAACTTTAAACGTTAAAGATTGAAAAATGTAGAAGTTGAAAATTAAAAAAAAATCAGCAAAACTTCATAAGTGATTTTAGTGTATAAACGTCATGGCAAAACATGACGTCACACAAATAAAAGAAAATCAAATTGAATGCTTTTCCGTTTCTTGAAAGATTCAATTTGGATACCTAATATCACTTTCGAATATCATTTTTGAGGTTGTACATGTTGTAGTTGTTGTTTTTTATATTATATTGTATTAATCGATTATTTTCTGATTCTGGCGCTCACTCCATTGTTACGACATGTTAATAGTAGTTTTGACGGTACATCTTAGCCAATTTAAACAATTGTTGCATAAAGATTGCATTAGAATTATTTTTATTCATGATCGAAATTCACTGGTAAGGTCATATCAATGACGCTAAGCAATCGGTATTTAAGAGTTGAAGGTGAATTTGTCGACTTGAACAGAATAAACATGTCTTTCGACAAACGCCTAGTTAGTGCGCTAGCAAATCTAGAGCTTATCGGTACACAACATTGTTTATATTGATAGCATACTATTTTTCCTAAGTACACAGTAGGAGCTCTGTAGGATTTTTTGACGAAACTGCAGTACTATTAAATTATACACTCATTATTTAAGAAGATTAATTTCAACAAAACTGAAAAAAGTTATTGCCCTGTTTGAATAAAATGTTTATCTGCCACTTGTTTCAACATTAACAAATTGCAGCATTGTCATATATGCAAGCAGATTTTACGTGGCAAATGTCCTTTGAATATTGATTTAAACATGTTAAATCATGAACGTCTCTAACAAACAAAATTTTATACTACATCTGTTAGAAACGGAAAATCATAGC